CACCAGGTATCAACCTCACCGCACGTCACTGGTATATATGTATATTTGGCTGTTTGTGTGGAAGTGCTGTGCTTTCCAGATGCTGTCGTCTCTTCTATAAGTCTTAAGAGTGGTGATCCTATGGATGTTTTTCTGATTTGTTCATATATCTGTCAATTAAACTGCCTGTAGGTAGTGAGGCAGAGGTTGATGGGGTCCATGATTCTGGGTATTTTAATCTTAGAGTATTTAGCTAGGTCAGGTGAGTTGTGTAGTACTGCTGCGTGGATTCTTTTGCTGGTTCTGGATCTATGTATGTGAAGAGTGCTGTGACACTGAATGAAACCATAATTTAATCTTTTATTTTTAGGTCTTTGGTTTTCTGAAAGCACTATAGTGGAGAATTGATATATTTGCAATGTACAGTAGATTCTCTGGTGAGGACCATAATTTGTTCCATAACTTTGGTCCCAACCTGATTTCATTGTGAACCAACCTAATATTGGAAATTTGGTGCTTACAAAAAATGGCGTGGAAGAGGAAATTTGCCTGAAAAAAAAATTGTGAATTTTTTGGTCAGAACCCGATTTGGTCGTGGTTAGAAGCGTTCATGACCAGAGGTTCTACTGTAGTGGGGAATTGATGGAATATTAACAATACCCAATCAAGGAGCCATCAGCGAGAAAATCACCCACACCAACACAAGTGAGGCAAGTTACTGTATACAAACGGAAAGCAAAGTCCATATTTACTTGCACTGATGTTGTTACCTAGCTGGGTAATTAAATATATGCAAGCTCAGAGAGCACCAAGGACTCCACAGGAGTAGGTTTCTAAGGAGTCCCCAAAATAGCTTCCAAGCCATTTAATTAGTCATAGGTGACAGCTTGCTATTTTTATAGCTATTGAAGAGGAGTTCTATTCAAACCACATGAGGAGAAACAGCAGTTTGTGTACTTTCTGACAACAGCTGTTTTTATTCATCTCTTTGTTGCAGCTACCGTTGCAGTCCTAGTAGCAGGTTACCTTATACTTAGAATTTGACAAACTGCCTTAGGTTATGTTGTGAAATTGTTTGTGAGGCACTGTCCCCACTCCATTTTTTTCAACTTCTCTCCTTCTACCTGATGCAGCATAAAATAATTTTGACTTTTCTTGATAAAATTGTAATGGGAAGGGATATATGGTCTTTGCATTTATCTAAGCAGTGATCAGTAAGCTCAGATACCCTGGTGTAGGAGTCTTGATTTTTATAGCATTGGATATTTATACTCATCTACATCCTTCTAGTTTTCCATACTTCAACTACCGTAATTCCCTGGGAAAGAAACAGTAAAAGAACTCATTCGTGGGTCTATTGTATGAGACTTGGGTGCACTAGCTTCTGTTGCCAACTCCACTGGGTTGCTCCAATGTGTAAATCATATGGCAATAGCCAAAATTTCACACACTTTTTGGCAATGACCCTAATGCTTTATTTATGGGGAAGTCAATTCCCCAGAAAAAAGTGGGTTCTTCCACTGGTGGCAATTTGCAAGGGTGAATCAACCAAAAAAACAAAAGGATAGTGAACAAGCATTATGAAGGCATTATTATGAGGCCACAAACTGCCATTAATTTTTTTTTAATGCTTGGGCTTTTATCATAATATTGCAGGTCAACTGCTGATTGAATATAATGCTTCTTTCTTCCAGTAAGTTTCCATTAATATATGGCTACAAAAAATCAACATGATAAAAAGCTCTTCTCATTTATGGTCTTTTGCTAGATGTGTTGAAATATTCATTTCAAATGGACTACTACATTTGTAATTAACAGGAACTACAATAAATTTTACTGGAAAGTAGTTAGGCACAACTCTAATGGCTTCATTGATTTTTTTTAAAAAATAAAAATAAACTCTGCATGAAATAAATATCTTACTGTCACATTTCATCCCTTGGTGCAGAAGTCCATAAAGTAATGAACCACAATGGTCACAAAATGTTGGGCTCCCATATGTGTGGATTTTGAACTTATGCTTGCTTCTTGGATCCTAAAAAGAAGAGAAATGTCAGTGTCATGTTACCTGTCAATCAATGAAGTTAAAGACATTAATGTTGTCAAATGCTAAATGAAAGTTTCTGAATTACAAATCCACGTACAACTCCTTGCAGAATACATATATCTCCATGGACAATAATTGTGCGTTCACACTATATACGTAATACAAAGATACTATTATCTATTCCTTTCTATTATATTACTTTCTCTCCCCCCCCCCTCTCTCTCTCTGTGTTTCCTGCAAAGATCACTTAAACTTCAGAAAATTATTTTTTGGAACGTTGTGATATTCTGGCTGAAATACAACCAAAGTTGTGGTTGCATACTTTGGTTTTTGACTGCTACTTAAAGAAACTTGAACTGGCTGAAATAGCATAGAAAACATATTCTACATTCTTATCAACAACTTAACTTAAAACTACCCCCAAGGAATTTTCGTTCCTTCAGGTGGGATTTCACAGAGAAGAGGTGGTAGGTGCTTGGTTTAGACTGCAGGTTTAATGGTTGACATTTCCAATAACACAAAGCTACACACAATGGGGAAAAAATCTTTTTCTACTTTAAGACTATGTGAGAAGGACAAATACTGTGCCCTACTTTAAAGCAGCTTCCAATGTTCCTATAATAATGCCCCTTATTTGTTTTTATAGGATTTGGGAAAGAAATTATCCATTTTCTCTGGGTCAAGACAGAAAATTATTTACAAATATTTACATGGAAGTGTATTTTTTAGATACAAGTCTAAACTTGTATCAAGTCACAAACGTTAGAAAATCTTACCAGTTTATAAAATGCAGGAACAATAACACCAAGAAGAGTATGTTCCAATACAAATATATTATGCATATCTGTAATTAATAGGATACAGTAACAAAAAGATAATCTTGTATCTGTACAAAAATAATTTTCTGCATCAAGTTTAGAACTTTTGCTAGGTACAAAGTTATCTTTTCACTCTATTGATGTATGCAAACATCTGTAGGTCAATGAGGTTCTAAGAATTATTTTTTTAATCTACAGGAGCAAAAGATCCAGAAGATCCAGTAGCAAGCTACAGTAGCAAAGATCCAGATCTGAAGTGGTTTAATGAATAAAGTACAATTTTTTAGTTCCTGCCAACAATTCAACAGAGAAATGCAAGTGTTCGATGTCATGTATGGATACTCTCTGGATAGATTCTTGTATGCTTTATTCACACAAAATTATTTTATGAAAAAATTCAGAAAGATAAAAAATATCCACAATGGAGAAGAATATAAAATGCCCCTCTAGGGGGAGGCAGAATGACATATAAAAACATCTAATAAAAAATTAATGTTAGGCCCGCTAGTTCAGCTGCACTTTAGAGGCAAAGCTTTCATTATTTTTTATCGTGTGACTTTACAAAATGTGATGCACATTTACCCAAAAATTATACAAAGTGCTATTCAATGACAAGATATTAGTAATTCAATAATTTGTACAAAGCATTTTAAATGGAACTATCTGCTAGATTTAGTCCTGTCACAAACAACTGTTAAGATCAATAAAATCTATTTCAGACTATTTAGATTTCCCAACAAGATTTCAATGACTATGATGTATAGTTTCAAGCTGAGAGCTCATTGAAAACTCTCAGAAGTGACAAGTTTGGCACCATACCAATTTTAAAAGGTTACTGATGCTTGATTAACATTTGTGATCCTATCTGTCTGTCTGTTCCACCCAACCCCATCTCTCTCCCCCCCCTCTCTCTCATATCTAACTTCTTTCAACTTCTTTTGGAAGCAGGAATTGGAAGAAAAAGAAGAATTGCACAAGCTAGAGAGCCACTGCCATACAATTATTTACATTTCTGACAAAAATGCCTTTATCAGCACTTTATCTATCTCTCCAATTCCAAAGTCAATTGCATTTTAAATGGGGGGGGGGAATTAGCATTTTGTCTCAAAAGGTACAGGGGTTCCTTGTCTTTCCACTTGTTTTGACAATAGGCAATTGTTCTCCAACTCTACACAATCACTCACAATTTACTAACATTATCATCTTAGCCTTCTGAAAAATGATGTCTTAACTTCTGCAATTAATGGATTCTTCATACAGGAATCATTTGGCTTCTGCAATCTACAATCCACTTTGATCCTTGAAAATTGCCTAGCAGCATCTCCGTGGAGCGAGATGAGCTTCTGAATGCATGTACCAGATTTTATCTTAATGGCAATAAGCATCTGGTAAAGATAAAGGTCACCCCCCCCCCCATGCATGCATGCTAGTCATTTCCAGCTCTAGGGGCAGTGCTCATCTCCGTTTCTTAGCCAAAGAGCCAGCACTGTCTGAAGACATCTCCGTGGTCATGTAGTCAGCATGACTAAACACCAAGGGTGCACGGAGAGCTATTACCTTCCCACCAAAGGTGGTCCCTATTTTTCTACTTGCATTTTTTACATGCTTTCGCACTTCTAGGTTGGCAGAAGCTGGGACAAGTAACGGGAGCTGACCTTGTTACGCGGTGCTAGGGATTCGAACTGCTGACCTTTCTGATCGACAAGCTCAGTGTCTTGCCACTGAGTCCTCTAATCCTAGTATAGGACACCAATAAACTGAGGTCTCAGATCTATTAAAATTTATACTATAATTTGAAACACTCCGCAATTCCCACAATCCCCTAGCCCAAGGAGCCAACAAAATGCCCTTCAAAGCTTTGTTAACACAGACATCTTTCTGGTCCCATCAGCAAAACTTCTCAACAGAGAAGCCACTTAAAGCATCTGGTAGCAGAGTCCAAATCCCACTATTTAGCTGCCACATCAATGTATATTTGAATCTGAAGGTATAGAATAATACAGTGTTAGACATTCTAAGCAGACTCCCTTATCCTCAGTACATTTCCACAACTGGAAAACCTGTGCTTGCAAACCCCTCCAATGGTCAGGGCAGTAACTGACTGTCTTCTGCATTGTGGTTACTTTGAAGACAGAAGAATTACAAATAGCTGTTTAGAAATTATGATTTTGAAACATTATTGGGAAACACAACAGATATATGTGGCAATGCATTTCTACCAGTAATTTTTTTTTTTTTACAAATTGTCTTCAGCATATGAATATGTTGGTAAGTCTGGTTAAGTAACATAAAGTAATGCTAAAAGCCTCTTCACTAATAGCACTGAGGTGTTGAAAAGTTTACTCGTTTCATTTTGATGCCTGGATTAAACTGCCTTCTAAAGAAAATAATTAATGTCTCCTACTACAGTTCCCTACGGCGTACATAAAAGAGCTAGTAAGCCTAAAGGTTTTTCACTACCCAAGTTCTTAATAAAATGACTGCTGTGAGCCAAGGAACCCAGATCTGTGTTGCCTCAAGTTGTCAGTATTGGTACTTCTACAGTGTTCCACAGATTTTATTTCAGAATTATCTAAAAGATTTGTGGATTAGTTCTAAGGTGCCAAATAATGCTACTGGGAAAATGGCTATTTGTGTAATTAGGAAATTCTGCAAGAGCCACTTAAAAGATTGGAAAGAAAAAAGGTAACCTAGCCAATAATAATCTTGCCCTAACAAATTTCCAGGATAAATGCTGGAAAACTATAGAAAGTCTATCCTTAGAATAGATGAAGATGGGGATAATGTACATTATATTAATGTAACATGTATTTTGAAAACACACAATAGAAAACATTTAAAAAGACATTTGCCGATTACAAAACAACAGTAGCAATGAATACTGTATCAGAAATAAGTTTTCTATGCTTAGATAACTATTCTTCAATAAGATTAACTACATTTGATAGTTGCAAGATTCTGTTTTAGATTCTGTCTGCAGTGAACATTCATACGAAGGCAACATTGATGAAGACAAATAACAAATCTTAAATACTATAGTTTATATGAAACATTAAAATCAGGCTGAATTACAAATACAAAACTCCAGACTTCAAATTGTATGCACACTTGAATATGATAGCTAAATAGACAGAGTATTTTGTCTCATCACTGTACATAATGCACTGATACTGATCCAGAGGTGGCATTCAGCAAGTTCTGACAGGTTTTGGAGAACTAGTAGCAGAAATTTGAGTAGTTCGGAGAACCGGCAAATAGGCTGGCCCCACCCCCGCTGCCTCCCAGCTGATCTTCTTTTGTTGCCTTGAACAGGAGAACGGAGCTGGAAAGCAGGTTAGTGGGGTGGGAGGGAATGGGGATTTTGCAGTATCCCTCCCCTGCCACACCCATCAACCCACGCCATGCCCACCAAGCCATGCCCACCGAACCAGCAGTAATTTTTTTTGAATCCGATCACTGTATTGATCTGACCAGATAGCTTTTCTTAGCATTTCATGAGATGATGACATTAAAAATAACTTTTAAATTTCTACATTTTTTACACAATTAGCTGAATAGGAATTTAATGATCAAAAACATTAGGCCAATTCTCCCTTTAGCTGTGAAAACCAAAGGATATATGTTTGAATTCCCAATACGCTGTAATTTGAGAGAGAGAGAAAACAAATGCATTTTAATAAATTAGCATTTAGAATGATGATTATGAATAGGCATAACTCTGACAACACATATTTTGCTCCACAATGCTTTCAAATACAAGTAGATAACTGCAGAAATGAATCAGTATTATAAAAATGATGTAATCAAATACCTTTTTGTCTAGTCTAACATCTTAAATGATGACCCCATTTAATGATTAAATGCAGCTTTAGGTATAATTCCTGTAATATACATACATACATACATACATACATACATACATACATACATACATACATACATACATACATACAACACACACACACACACACACACAGATACTAGAAAAAGAGTAACCTAGTAATCTCCACAAACAGTTCAGTCTGTCTGTCCAGA